CCGGGACCTCACTGGATGCACTTGTACCTGTCGTTCTGTGGACCACTCTCAGCTACTGGTCAGTCTGGTCTATATGCTCCAAGATGCAGATACTATTTTGAGCTCCCTGCCTACTATTGCCTTGCATTACAGTACAAATTTGAGTTCTTGATTCTCTCGCCGGTGATCTTTCTACACAATTTAATTTTATGGTGAAGTATGATCTAAGAGTGTAATCGACACCTTTATCCTGCGAACAACGACAGATAAATTGTATACCCAGGGAGCATTACAAAAATATAAGAACATTATAGGTCTGGCTGCCGCATACGGTTGTTTCACAGACAACCAGCAAACAAATGTAAACATGTTTCTTGCCTAGAACAGGGCGTTGCAAAATTACAAGGCTTATGGAGAACAATGAGGCACGTCATATAATCATAGTTTCAGTTGCAAGGCTCAATATGTAGAAGTAGGAAAGTGTTGGGCAAACATTCTCTAATGCAGAAATTAAGAACCACATTGCATACAAGATAGCATCAAGCTAAACAGTGATTGGATACATATTATGTCCTAATTAAGATAGCTAACAGTAATCCCATCACAGAAGATAACAACAAAAACAAGTCAAGGCCTCCTCTGGCGGCACCGAGGGGTGAGGGAAGGGAGAGCCGGCGGCTAGGATTTCGTCGTCTCCCGTGTCGCCCCGAGCGGAGTGACGCGGAGGCACAGCCTTCTGTTCCTCTCTCTCTTAGTTTCCCCTCATTGATTGTTTTTTCTTTTATTTTTGAATATTTATGGACTTCCATTTAAAAAATGATCATTTAGGAGACATATGGTGATGATGTTGCCTGCATGTAGGCACCAATGTTAGCCAAAACTACTCTCATGGCCTAAAAGTACAAGGCATTGAGATTTAAACTAGGATGGTAGGCATGAAAACATTACACCAGAATACAAGAAGAATTAATGCAACATATTTTTGACTGAAAATTAATGCAACATATTTAACTTTGAGTTCTTTTTGCCATGCTATCAGCTAAAACCCAGATATCAAATGTGGGCCTAGCCACCATAAACAAATCTTCCTTGTGGGTCCCTCTGAAACAGAAAATTAGGAAGTATAAGTTTTGTTGAATTTTCATTCATTTGAAATGTTTATGTACATGCCTTTTACAGTTGTCTTAAAAAGATGCATTTTTATTTAAAGATCATGGCACCCAGATTTGTATGAACTATTTTCCCAAGTTTAGTTTCCCTTTTATGTAGTACTACTACGGGTATGACATGCACCAGAATCAAGAAAAATGGACTACTTTTATAGGATTCAAAATCCTTAGGATTTTATGAGTCTGTAGTAATACTAGCTCCATTCCAAAACGTCATATATTTTAGAAGGGAGGTAGTAGGAAGGGTGCTGCAATTTTTGTTGGAATTGATTATCTATGTTCACGATGTCATATGAATTTCAGTAACCACTGTAAACTTTTATTGTAGCCATCAGCACAAAATCGAGACATGTTCCTATCCAAATGGCCATCTCTACAATTTTTGGGCATTTTTCAAACAATCTATTATGCGTTTACATGCCTGGATATTTTTTTTGTAGTAGAAGACTGGAATCTGATAGTACAAACACATGATGAAATTTGAGTTTTAATTTTTTGAGGCAATCAAATGTGGGTAATTCTTAAATGCGGGTAATGTCGTCACTATGGGCTTGTGGGCTAAGCCCAGCCCGTGTGAGAGGAGAGGAGAGCGACTATTCCATAGCCCAGACCAGAGACAGAGAGGGTTCTATACGGGAATATCCTATTTGAATGGGCCGGCCTGTTTAACACACTTCACAGATCCCGGTTTTGGGAACCTTCTAGACTTTCCCAGCCGGTTTTTTCTGGTTTTGGGAACTTTCTAGAAGGTTCCAGAACCGGTTTTTTTATTTTCCTTTCTTTTTCTATTTCTGTTTATCTTTATTTTTTATTTTCTTTTTTGTTTTTCAAGTTTATGTTTTCTCTCTCAAAAAAATGTTCACGCTTTTACAAAAATGTTCAAAATTTGAAAAATGTTCGTGTTTTCAAATTTTGTTCATAAATTCAAAAAATGTTTGGAATTTTCAAAAACTATTTTGTGTTAACAAAATTGTTCAGAATGTTTTTGCTCAAAATTTTGACAACTTTTAAAAAAATGTTTGCGATTTCAAAAAATGTTTCCGTTTCAAAAATTGTTTGCAACTTTCCAGAAATGTTCTTTTAAAAGCACGAACATTCTTTTAAAAAATTTGTTCTCAAGATTCAAAAATTGTTCATGCTTTCAAAAATTGTTCGAGCTTCCAAATTTGTTCTCCATTTCAAAATTTGTTCTCAACATTCAAAAATTGTTCGTGCTTTAAAAAATTGTCCGCGCTTCTAAATCTGTTCTCCATTTTAAAATTTGTTCTCAACATTCAAATATTGTTCGCTCTTAAAAAATTGTTCTCCATTTCAAAATTTATTCTCAACATTCAAAAATTGTTCGTGCTTCCAAATTTGTTCTCCATTTCAAAAAAATTCTCAAGATTCAAAAATTGTTCGTGCTTCCAAATTTGTTCTCCATTTCAAAATTTGTTTTCAACATTCAAAAATTGTTCATGCTTTAAAAAATTGTCCGCGCTTCTAAATCTGTTCTCCATTTCAAAATTTGTTCTCAACATCCAAAAATTGTTCGCGCTTAAAAAATTGTTCTCCATTTCAAAATTTGTTCTCAACATTCAAAATTTGTACGTGCTTTCAAAAATTGTTCGTTTAAAGAAATGTCACAAATTCCAAGAATATTTGGGAAATTCAAAAGTTGTTTGTGTTTCCAAATTTTGTTTTGAAATTTGAAAAATTGTTCCTGTTCAGTTTTTTGGGTAGTTTAAAAAATGTTTCCGTTCCAAAAAAATATGTTCGCGTCTCCAAAATTCGTTTGTGTGTTGAAAAAATGTTTGAGTTTTCTCAAAATTTGTCTAGTATTAAAGTACTTGCGTTGCCTGTGTATTAAAGTACACAGGCAAAAAACTGAGTATTAAAGTTTTTCTCAAAATTTCTCAAAAAATGTTTGAGTTTTCTCGCGATTTTATCTAGTATTAAAGCGCTTGCGTTGCCTGTGTATCACGCAGAGCAGTAAGGCTCAGTGGTAAGCTTATTGGCTTTGCAACAGCGCGATCGCGAGTTCGAATCCTGCGCGACGCACGCGCTTTTTCTTACTTTTTTTAACACTCCTCCTATTCCATAGCCCCCTCTCCCAGCCGGCGACCATGCCGGAGGAGGCTGCGGCAGACCTCTCCTAAGCGTAGGCAATCTCCCAGATAAGATCGTCGTGTGGGAGATTCTCGTCCGCCTCGACCCCAAATCCCTCCTCCGCTCCCGCGCCGTCCGCCGCGCCTGGCGCTGCGCCACCTCCACCCGCGGCTTCCTCCTCACCCACCACGCCCGCCAGCCAACCCTCCCTTTCGTCTGCAGAGATAGATCCCATAGCATCCTCGCCTTCGACCACCGGGCCGCTGCCGATGCCCAGCTCCACACCGTCGTCCGGCTTGCCGAGCCCTTCCTTCTCGTGGCCTCATGCGACGGCCTTCCTTCTCGAGGTCTGATTTTCACTTCTTTTGCCAGATCCCAAGCAACTCGCATATTCTTGTAAAACCAGTACTGGCTATAGGTCTTTTCTGTGTGAACCCTAGCTAACGCCATCCACCGGACCGCTTCGTCCGGCAGTTCGTCGTCTTCCACAATGACATCCTGGAGATCATCCTCCGTCAGGCCTAGTTCTTCCATCATCGCTGCAACATCTGACTCTGTCTCTACCGCACCCGAGGATGCACCATCTTCCTTAGTTCTCTTGCCCGAAGAAACCATGTCCAGGAGCGGTAGGGTCCCATCACTTCGTCCGCTCCTGCCATGGCCGGGGCCCCAAGGACACCCGAGCGCCGGGGAGGGAAGGAGGCAGGGTAGATCAGGTCTCTATGTCGGGGAGAAAAATCGCCGCCGCCGAGAGGAAGGAAAATCCTAACGAGAGGGGACAGAGACAGGTGGTCTTTTTTTAGTCAACTGCTCAGACAGATCACAGATGGGTGTACTGGAATCTGATATTACAGGACATTCTCAGTGGTGGGTTGTGCTTGTGGGCTAAGCCCAGCCCATGTGAGAGGAGATGAGAGCGACTATTCCATAGCCGAAACATCGACCTCCCCTCCCCTCCGCCGCCACCACCACAGCTCCCAGCCGGCGACCATGGCGGAGGAGGCTGCGGCAGCAGCAGCGGCGCCTCTCCTCGAGTGCCTCCCAGACGAGATCGTCCTGTGGGAGATCCTCGTCCGCCTCGACCCCAAATCCCTCCTCCGCTCCCGCGCCGTCCGCCGCGCCTGGCGCTGCGCCACCTCCACCCGCCGCTTCCTCCTCGCCCACCACGCCCGCCAGCCAACCCTCCCTTTCGTCTGCAGAGACAGATCCCATAGCATCCTCGCCTTCAACCACCGGGCCGCTGCCGATGCCCAGCTCCACACCGTCGTCCGGCTTGCCGAGACCTTCCTTCTCGAGGGCTCCTGCGATGGCCTCCTCGTCCTCTCCAGGTGCACCCGCCGCTTCTCCATCCACAACCCGGCCACGCGTGAGCATGCCTCCCTCAGCTGTCCAGCCTGGGACTTCAACATCGTGGGGATGTATCCACATCCACCTACCGCCGAGTACAGGCTGCTACTGCAATGTTGCGACCTGGACATGCCTAAGGACGAATTTGGCTGCTATGTCCTTCCGTTGGGCTCCGACCAGCCACCAAGGTACATCGGGTGTCCGGAGAGACGAGTGATCTCAGCGCTCTTCAATGTACCTGTCTGGGCGCGTCATACTCTGCATTGGTACCCACTGCCTTATCTGAAATATGAGACTGAAAGCGCCCAGCTCGACGATCAGGCTGAACAGCAACTGGTAATAGTTTTCGACACAATAGCTGAGTCGTTTCGGCAGATGCGTGCTCCACTTGCTTCCACCTACTCATCTATCTTTGAGGTGGATGGCATGCTTGGCATCTATAGCTCTAACAGGGCTAAGGAAATTGTTGATATATGGGTGCTGCACAACTATGAAAGTGAGATTTGGGACTTAAAGTACCGGGTTGAATTGCCGCTCACACAAATCAGGAGGAAGCTTCAAGCCCGTGATGGTGATGGCAATTGGTATGTGATCGTTGCTTCGGGTGATGGTGATGTGCTCTTGCTAGTCAGGTTTGCTCATTGGCTGTTTTACGTTGACACTGATGGCAAACTGGTTGCTAGCTTCCAAGACATCAATTTCTATAAATATGGGCTCAAACAGACTCTTGTTCCTCATGATTTCTTCACGACACGAGAAGGTTTTGCTGCGGACGCTTCACCATTCATCTGATGGCGCCTCAAGAGCCTAGTTTTCTTATCCTCATAAGCTGCAGCGTCTATGAGCTGGATCAAGTATGAGCAGGCTCATTTCTTCTTTTTATGTTGATGTATAAAAAGTTATGATAAGAAGTGACTATCATGTGGATCTATGCTTGTATAAATACCCTTTCGGGCTGAGGTTATGTTTTGTGTTAATGCTAAACTTATCAAGCTGTTTGCTCTCCTTTATAACAAATTCCAACTGATCCGCCTCATTTCTCTATTTTCTTGGCTGAGTACTTGCTTTATTCTATTTATCTAGTTGTCTTCTCCATACTGGATGTTGAGCAATCTTCATGCCTCACATCATTATTTCTTAACTGAAGAATTGATTTTACCTCTTGATATAGTGGTCTTCTTAATAGTCAGTTTTTAGTGTTTTTCCTGTTTGTACCCTTTGTTGTACCTGACAATTGGAAGAGGCAGATTTTCCTCTTTGCTGACTTGCAAGCGGCACCTGACCGCTTTGGAGAACTGCTGGTTAAATTGAATGCTTCCATATTTCATCATAATAGTCAACTTCTCAATGAAGTGTCCTGTTATAATTCTGTTTTCTTCAGGCATCTACCACTATGAACTTTTGATTCTCTGTGCTACTGGTTGTAACTAAGATATGAGCGCAGGTGATGTGTTGCTCTCTTAAAGCAAACTTGGCTTATGTAGAATTATGTAATGGATTGTAGTTATGTGCATTTGTGGGAGCTGGTGGTCTGTTCTGGGGACCATTTTACGTGTCTGTCATGATTCAAAATAGGATGGAACAGTTTATCTCTTGTAGGATTTGGACATCTTTCACTCTAACAAATGATTCAAAATCTTCTTAATTTCTTGCCTAAAGAATTATTTTAGAATAGGTTCCAATCTCATATTCTGTCCCTTTGTCCAAGAGCTAATAATTCAGAGAAACGATGGAGATGGTTAGGTAGATCTTATTGGACATGGTTGTAGTAGTGTTCTTCTAGAAAAGACTGGTAACACAACCTGAAAATCTATGGACATTTTATTACATTTTTCTGTTGCACGGTTTGAAATTATTATCTCTTATTATTTCAAGTTAGCTGTTAACCACTTCTGGTAAAGGCTTCGCGTGATGCTTGTAGCACAATTGCTCTTAATAACTTCAGATGTACTTGAAAGTTTTTGCTTGAGTCAACGGTCCCTAAATTTTGTGTCTCCTGGAACTGCGCTGATGTGGAAGGCATGTGTGGATCGCTCCCGGGCGTGTAGGCGTCTGCCCACCGTTGAAGAGATCACCTTGCTGCACGGACGAAAATCTATGATAGCTATCTCAATTATTCGGTTATTTTCTTACCAATTCGAGTGCAAATCCTCAGTAGTATATGTGTGCATGTCAAGCTTGGTCTGTCTACAATCTACTCTTTGAACACCTCTAAGTTGAACGTGATTGCGTGTCAGGCTTGTCCTGTGCCTGAATGAGAACAACATCGTTCACCAGTAGCGGTTTGTCTGATTACATGTCCATTCCTACTTTACCTCTTGTTTACAACTTTGATATATATCTTCAGGTAAGGAAAATATGCTCAACCTTTTAGAAGCTTGTGTTTGTGAACAAAACGATATGCTGATGATGCAAAATTATACGCTGAACATGGCTTTGCAAAATTAATTTCTTCATTTGTTCTTTGTTGGATTTCGGGGTAACTACAGAAAAGTCAGCTAGATGAGTCTGGTAGATTCAGATGTTTACATATTATTTTTGTTATGAAACAAAGTTGTTTAGAACTCAATCTCTACAGCTCAAAATGTCCTAGTAATGCGGCAACAGTAAGCTTGCAGAGAACTGTAGTTGAAACTAAGATGAACGATTCTGTTCCCTGTGGGCTTTGCTTCTGCAGAGAACAGTAGTTTAAAGCAACATTAAGCATGCAGAGAACAGAGCTTTGCTTCTACAATTGAACCATTGAATATGCCGTGCCTCATGTTCCCTGTGGGCTTTGCTGCTTTTACAATTATGTTCTAAGCAAGAAACTGATGATCTATGGAACTGATGTATGCTGCAGCCAGACTTAGAGAAGGTGTTACCACAAAAACACAATTTTTGTAATGCTCCTGGGCGTCGATGCTTCACCCGTAGCTAGATGGGTCTATACCATTTTGCTCTGCTTTTGAAGTACTTTTCAATTGATACGCTTCATGTCTCTATTTTCTTGGATGAGTACTTGCTTTATTCTATTCCCTCTGTCTCATAATATAACTGTTTTTTACACTAGTGCAGTGTCAAAAACGCTCTTATATTATGGGACGGAGGGGGTATTTATTATCTAGTGGTCTTCTTTGTCAAAAACGCTCTGATAAGAGTGTTTTTCTTGGACGCTTTATTCTATTTATCTAGTGGTCTTCTCAGTACTTGTTATTTATCTAGGTGTCTTCCTAATAGTCCGTTCTTTTTAGTGTATTTCCTGTTTGTACCTTTTGTTTTAACTGGTTAAATTCAATGCCTCCATATTGTATCATAATGCATTTCTGGGAGCTGAATGCGTTGGGGCCATTTTACATGTGTCTGTCATGATAGGTTGGAACAGTTTTATTTCTTGCAGGATTTGGACATGTTTTACTCTAACAAATGATTCCAAATCTTCTTGATTTTTTGAATAAATAATGGGAATTTAGGTTAGGTTCCAATGCCATATTCTGGCCCTTTGCCCAGGAGCTAATAATTCAGATAAATGATGGAGATGGTTAGGTAGGACTTGTGGAAACTAAGCTCACCACAATAGCGAGAGTTAGACATGGTTAGGCATGTGTGGGTCGCTGTGGGGCATGCACAGAGGCGTATGCCCACCTTCGACAAGGTCACCTTGCTGCATGGACGAAAACCTAGGCTAGCTATCTCAATTATTCAGCTATATTCTTGTTGGTCAGCTTGTCAAATCCTGAGTAGTATATCAAGCTTAATTATATGTATACATGTCGAGATTGGCCTATCTGCGACCTACTCTTTGAAGTTTGAACACCTCTAAGTTGCATGTGAAAGTTGCCTGACTGACTTGCTCTGCGCCTGATTAAGAACTAAGTTGTTCACCACTAGCTATTTGTCTGATTTACATTTACAACTATGTTATATATCTTCAGGTAAGGAAATATTCGCAACTTTTTAGAAGAAGCTTCTGTTTGTAACAAACAGAAGATAAATGGACAAAACTGTACGCTAGTCCTGCACCTTACATTTGCAATTTGTTTGTTGTTGGATTTCGGTGTTGCTTCAAAAAAAAAATCAGCTAGATGGGTCTGCTAGATTCATATGTCCACATACTATTTTTGCTATGAAACAAAGTGGTTTAGAACTCAATCTCTAGTGCTCAAAATGTCCATGTAATGCTGCAATAGTTTGCAGAGAACAGTAGTTGAAATGGAAGTAAGATAGACCAGTGGGTGAGCCATTGAACAGAAAGTACATGCACAACTACCAGTTCTCACTCTACCTCTATAAATTCTTCTTCACCACAAACTGCTGCACCAAGTCTCGGTTTGTTCTTTCTGATTGACTTGTGAAGCTCTAGTTTACCATTCAGCACCAGTTTAGCTTCTTTTTCAATTTAGTAGGAGCAATTCAGGGTAGGATGGATCCACATGGGCCTGGAGGACCGGGTTGGGGTGGCCCTGCAGGATGGGGCCCTGGAGGGTGGGGTCCGGTTCCACCTGGTAGGCCTGGTGGGTTTCCTGGTGGCCCTGGTTCTTGGGGGCCTGGGCTCGGTGGATTCTTCGGATCCTGGTAAGTTGAATTCTCAGCTAACTGATGGAGATCATCAAGACATTCAGTTACATACCAATTTTTTTTTCCTTCTAAAAAATCAGACTATTCACGCTAAAGACGATTAGTGTGGTTTCGGGATCAAGTGTAATTTTTTTAGCACCATCACAAGCTTCAATTCCAAGTCATGATGCATGTATACTATTAGTGCTGGCTACAAGAAACAACTCATTCGACCACAATTCCTAGACTAAATATGCGCAAAGAACCCACTTGCGTGAAGTTGGAAGTTCCCCTTGCTGCTATGTAAACAATACTGAAAATCATATCGTCTTGGTAGAATGTATCCTGGAGTGGAGACCACTGTTTCAATCTTACATAATTTACCTGGTGCTAGTGCTATTTCAGAATGCCATGCAAACACTACTGAAAATAATGTGGTCATGTCTCTCTCCTGGAGATCATTGTTTCTCTCTTACACAGTTAGGCTCTCTCTAGCTACCTTGTTGTACATTTGCTGATGCGTTTCACAGCCTAGCTCTCTCCACGTTAGAGCTCTTTTATGGTACCCAGTAGTGAATATAGACCATCCATCTGTGAAATCCAACGGCCATGACTGTTCTATACCGCTGCAATCAGGCCAACCGGATGGCGGGCAGTATAGGTAACTTCGGACCTGTTCCGATCCACTCCACGACTCCGCTCCGGGAGTGGACGGAGCAGCGCCGAACGCAACAACTCGAGGGAGTCGAAGGAGTGGAGCGGAGCGGCTCGTAGTTGAATCTCGCGGAGTCGCAAAAAGCTATC